GTGGTTGTGACGGCGACGGCGATGGCTGCGACAGCAACCTGCAGTTCTCCCTCGCTAGGGCAGGCACCTTGCCGTTGGTGGGGGCTTAGCTGAATCTCCAACCGGTCTTCTTCTGGTCTGAGGTAACGTGGATGCGGCAGCCTCCGCGCTACCTTCCCTCCAGATTTAGGCCGCTGGAGAACAGTGACCAAGAACTGCCACCTCCTAATCCAGGGTGTTAAGCGACACCGTGCCTATTGGACGGTTTGCAGCCAGGAGGGAATAATCCGGCTGTATTAGAACGGCGCCTTTCCGACACCGGGCCGCATCGGGGAGTAACGGTGGCCTTACCGCGACAAGAGGCGCTGGCGCGGCGGAGTTTGGAGATCCCCTTCAAAACACTAGACTGCTGAGCTCGCCTCGTCGAGCAGGCGGTCGCAAGCGCAGCTTCTTGGACAAGCTGACAGTAGAAGAAGCATCGCTGTTCATCGAGCATGCGAGGGATGACGAACGGCCAGGCACCAGCGCAGAGGCGTCCTGTAGCAAGGCACGGGGCAAAAAAGGTACTTTCGCAAATCAAGATGTGTTAGATTTGTATGATTCATCTGCCGAATTAGATCGGCCGCAACACCGGTCCGGCAGTTCTCTTTATAGGCGCACAGTAACAGCGAGATTAGAAAGCAGCCACCGTACCGAGGGCAGTCACCGCTCCAACAGTCGGCATGGCTCAAGCGGTCGGTGCCGCTCTAAGAGTCGTCACCGCTCAAAGAGCCGGGAGCGCTCAAAGAGTCGTCACCGCTCACAAAGCCGGGAGCGCTCAAAGAGTCGGCGCCGCTCTGACAGCGATAACCGGAAAGGGAGAGGTAGACACAGGTCTCCCAGCAGCAACGCCTGCGCCATTTCTGACGAGTCTGGTTGGCAGAAGCAGAGGAAGAAGAAAAACCGCAGGGCCAAACCTCCTCCGATGCCTCTGCCAGGTCAGCCCGGGGCTCTGGACGACCGACACCGCGAAGGTTTGAGCGGCTCCGGGGTCAAGTGGTACCTCCGGTACCTGGAACAGGGCAAGCCCCAGTTGAGGCCAGGGCCATGGCCAGCGTCAGAATGGAGGTTGAGAACGAGCGTAGCAGCAAAGGCAACAAACCCGCACCTGCCGATAGGTGGAAGAGCGAGCCCAATAAACAGGTACACTTACCCGCGCCTGCTGCAAAGCAGAGAAGCGGGCCACAGCAACAACAGCAGCACAGACCCGCGCCCGCCGGATGGCGGAGAAGCGGGGAACCCCCTGGCCATAAAGGGGACGCAGTCAAGAGAGGGAGCAACCAAATCACTCCGCCTGAGACACCTAGCACCAAACGGCAGCGGGATCAGCGACCTACTCCGACTTCATGGCCTAAGAGCCTGGCTGGGCCGGCCGGGCAGGGACAGGTGCAGGAGAGCGCCACTCAGCAGCCCAGTTACTCGGAGACCCTCAAAGGCATCCGGGTAGCTGTGCTGCCGTGTGAGTACCCTGCTGCTGCCTTGAGCCCGGAGGACTTAACCAGACTCCAAGATGCCATCATGGAGGAGGTATTCAAAGGTTGGTCGCACCCGCTGGTTTTCTGCGGGGTGTATTTCAGGTCCGGTATGCTTCTCGTTGATTGCAGGGACGAGAAGACAGCAACCTGGCTGGCTGAGAAGGCACCAGCACTTGAGGGCTGGAAGGGACCCGGGATGTGCACGAAGAGAGGGGACGAAATCCCTCCGGTGCACAACATCACGGTGTTCCTCCCAAGGAGCGCCGACAAATCTGCCGAGTTTGCGCTGGGGCTACTGAAAGCGCAGAACGAGGGTATCCACACTTCTGCGTGGAAAGTAGTGTGCAGCACCACTGAGGAAAACGAGCTCAGGCTGTTTCTAGGTATTGATGAGGAGTCCTACGTCAGTATTAAGAGGGCTGGCTTCAACCTAAACTACAGGTTCAGCTTCGTCACGGTAAGACCGTGGAGACAAAAGGCGACAGGCAGCAAGGAGTCGGAGGCGCAGGAGACTCAAATCGACGTGGTCGCCGGTTCCCCTGCTGCCCAGACGGCCGAGTCGACCTCGGGCTTACCGGCGGAGCAGCCACTACCTGCAGAAACACCAGCTCCCGCAAGCACGCTCGGGCATACCGCTACCACCACCTCAGCGGAACACGTGCCCTCAACGCAGGAGCTGCTATCAGGTTTGGACTTGAGGCGACTAGAGCTTGATAAGCGGAACGAGAGCGAACTACAGCTCTCCGACCTGGACGAGCTCCACCTATGAATCCCCGACACTTGGCAGTAGCCCAGGTCAACCTGCATCACGCGGTGGCTGCTTCGGCGGTCATCACCAGCAGGTTTGCCACGGATGGCCTGGGCATCCTACTGATCCAAGAGCCGTTGACGTACAGAGGCCAGGTGAGGGGCCTCAACCATAAAAGGAACAAGGTAATTTGGGACCTCTCCTGCGAGAGGCCCAGAGCGTGTGTAGTGCTTAAAGAAAATATTGATTACTTTTGCATTACAGAATTTTTAACACAGGACCTAGTCGCAGTGCAGACGTCGCTGACCATTTGCGATAGCAACGTAGAGGTGGTGTTCGCTGCGGCCTACTTTCCGGGGGACAGCAGCTATGCCCCACCACAAGAGGTACAGAGGTTAGTGGAGTACTGCAGGAGGAGACGGCTCCATCTTATAGTGGGGTGCGATGCGAACGCCCATAATGTTGAATGGGGCAGCACGGACACAAATCGCAGAGGTGAGTGTCTCTTAAAGTACATTTTAAGCGAGGAACTTAGCATCCACAATGTTGGCCAAACACCGACATTTGTTGCGAGGGCTAGGGAAGAAGTACTGGACGTTACGCTCAGCAACAGATTGGCTAGCCCTCTGGTCACCCAATGGAGGGTCTCGTCGGAACCTTCATTATCGGACCACAGGATTATCCAATTTGTGTTGGGAGCGGAGGCGAGAACAAACCAAGCAACTAGGAACCCCAGGAAAACTGACTGGGAACGATACAGCGAAAATTTAAAATCAAACTTGACTGTAATACAGTCCAAGAACAGGCACGTCGATCATATGAGGTTAGAGAGCACCGTTAACGAACTGAATGGCGCCATAATGGATGCCTTTCACTCCAGCTGCCCTGAGGCGAAACCAAAAGGGAAGGCTCAGCCCAGCTGGTGGTCTCGGGAGCTATCGGTGCTCAGAAAGCAGGTACGAAAACTTTTTAACAGGGCAAAGCGTACAGGGCTTTGGGCGGAGTATTCAGCCAGTTTAACTAAGTACAGTAAAGAGATCAGGAAAGCCAAACGGGGCAGTTTCAGGAAGTTCAGCGAGGACATCACATCGACTCCTGCAGCCGCGAGACTACATAAGGCCCTGGCGAGGGATCATACTGACACCAAACTAGCAATACGGCTAGCTAATGGTACCTACTCAGGGAACGAAAAAGAGAGGGCGCTTGCCCTACTCTCGGCCCACTTCCCGGATGCCACTCCGACCACGAGGGAGGTACCATACCAAAGAACTAGGCCATCCCCTGCAGACTGGAAGCTGGCCAGAAGACTAATCACCCACCGATCGGTCTGCTGGGCTTTGGACTCCTTTGATCGGTACAAATCCCCTGAGGTGGATGGCATCTGTCCAGTGTTGCTGAAGCAAGGTAAGGAGTTCCTACTGCCACACCTCGTCAACATCATGCGGGCGAGCTTAGCGCTTGCCCATATCCGCGAGGCGTGGCAAAGAGCTCGGGTTATATTTATCCCGAAGATAGGTAAGAGAGATTACTCTCTCGCTAAGTCCTTCAGGCCGATAAGTCTTACCTCCTTTCTGCTAAAAGCAATGGAGAAGGTCATCGACCATGAAATTAGGAACAACACCCTTAAGGTAGCGCCTTTGCACCCCGACCAACATGCCTACAGAGTGGGCAGGTCCACGGACACTGCACTATACGCCCTGTCCACGGATATACAAGGTGCTCTTGAGTGTGGGGAGACAGTACTCTGTGCCTTCATCGACAATGAGGGGGCGTTTGACAACACCTCTCACGGTAGTGTCGACCGGGCGCTTGAAAAACGCAACGTACAGGCAACCATCCGTAGGTGGATAGTCAGGTTACTCAACTCAAGGATAGCTGAAACCGACATCGGGGACGGCGTAGTACAGCTACAAACTACAAGAGGTTGCCCACAGGGAGGAGTTTTATCCCCTCTTCTGTGGAGCTTAGTTGTGGACGAACTTCTACAGATCCTCACTGATAATGGCATCCGTTGTCAAGGTTATGCGGATGACATTGTGATTATTGCCAGGGGGAAGTTCGTGAGCACTCTATGCGATATAGTTCAAAGGGGACTAAACCTTGCGAGAGGCTGGTGCTTGAGTATGGGCCTGAGCATCAACCCCTCCAAATCCGTTATCGTCCCCTTTTCTAGAAGAAGAACGCTCCCAGGTATGAGGAACATCACTTTGGATGGGGTCGCCGTCAACGTCGCCACCGAAGTCAAGTACCTAGGACTAACACTAGATTCCATGTCGACGCGACCACATCCAAAGCCACGCGGGCACTAATGGTTTGCAAACGTCTGGCCGGGAAGTCTTGGGGCTGCAGTCCCAAGATGCTAAGATGGATGTATACCATGATAGTTAGACCAATAGTTACTTATGGGGCAGTGGCGTGGGTATCGAGGACCACCCTCGCAACGGTGAGACAATCCCTCGCTAAGCTTCAACGTCTGGCGTGTGTATGCATCACGGGGGCAATGCGCACATGCCCGACGGCGGCGCTAGAGGTGATTCTGGAGCTCGAGCCACTGCACCTTACCATTGAACAGGCAGCAAGGCGAACTCTATTGAACTTCGCAAGAGAAGGCTTTGGTAAAGGTAAAATCCTACCATCGAGGTACAGGGACAAGCTAGGCTCCCAAATTCCATTTGCTCTGTTCCCCAGAGACGACAGGCCCAAACTAGTTAGCTTTGACAGAAGATTCAAAATAGCGCTTTGCACCAAGTCGACTTGGAGCACCTCTTTTTTGGAGAGGCAGATACAAGCGAGCTCAATGCAATGGTACACAGACGGCTCTAAAACTCCCGAAGGTATTGGGGCAGGCGTTCACGGGCCAAGGCTAAAGCTTTCGGTACCCATGGGCGTATACCCAAGCATCTTCCAAGCGGAAGTCTATGCCATAAGTCTGTGTGCAGAGATTAACCTGCGTAGGAACTATCGTAATGAAAGGATTTTGATCATGAGCGACAGCCAGGCAGCACTCAAGGCCCTATTATCATTTGAGGTCAAGTCCTCTCTGGTTCTTGAGTGTATTGATAAGCTCAACGCCCTGGCGGAGTACAACGACATCCAATTAACTTGGGTGCCAGGTCACGTAGGAGTTGTCGGCAATGAGGAAGCAGACCGACTAGCTAGGAAGGCAGCCGCCTCGTTGCCTATAGGGCCTGAGCCCTTCATAGCGGTTGGACCTAGTACAATCAAGGAAGAGCTCAGGAAGGAGAAGGACACAGTAAGGAATCAGCACTGGCGTAACACGGCAGGCCAACGCCAGGCTAAAAGCCTACTGGGAGATTACAACCATACAAGGTATAGAGCAATTATAAACCTTCCCAAAGAAAGGGTAAGGATATTGACAGGCTTTCTGACGGGTCACTGCAGACTGAGAGGTCACCTGCACAGGTTGGGGATCTGGTCTAACGACCTATGTCGGTTCTGCGATGTGGCTGAGGAGACCCCTCTGCATCTGCTTCGCGAATGCGAGGCAGTTGCGAGAAGACGGGAGAGACACCTAGGCCAACTCTGGCCAAGCGATGAAGTCTTACAATCGCCAGCCCCCGGAGATCTCCTTAAATTTTTGGGTTCTCTGGGACTAGATGAGGTACTCTAAACAGTCGAGGGCACAATAGATCATTTGGTCGCAGTGCATACCTCTACTTAATCTATCTATCTAACCTGCAGTTCCCTTGCAGTGGTGGTGGCGGCCTTAGCAGTGACGTTAGCAGTGGCCCATATAATGA